ATATTTTGACATCAAACGTCGTTGAATGTGATATATTTATAAAAATTCCGTACGTCCATGGAGTATCGATCCTTTCAAATTCCAGACCGGAATCCAAGATTACCGTGTCGGCCAACAGAAGGTAAAAAATGTAGACCAAAACTTAATTCATACAGACTATTCTTGTTTCGCTCACTTGACCGATATATGACGACCACCGTTTTGCTTTATGTGAACAAAATATCTGCAAAGATATCAAAATAAAATTATTTAATATTTAACTTTCTTATGGACAGTTTATTGAATTTTTATTATTGTATTTGCTTGTTCAATTAGGTTATATTTATTTTTCAATTATTTTGGGAGCTTTCATAATAAAGCCAAGAACTACAATATATTAAAAATGTATAACATTTTACAATCGCCATTTTTCATGAGAATAATGTGCGAGGTGTTTTTCCGATTTAATATGAACTAGCAACCTTTTTCAGAATAAATATTTCCGTTGCATTAAACATTGAGTATTTCCTGTAAATTTACGGACCAGACATTGAATCTATTACTTACCGACTGAATTTACACTAATAGAAATAAAAGAAGCTTTACAAATTTATTAATTTAATTATGTTTTATATACTCTGTAGTTATACAAAAAAATAAATATATTGTTAATCTAATGACTAGTTTGTTTTACTTTAATCATAAAGGCAATTATTATGAAATACATATTTTTCCTAAAAGCTAATATAAATAATGACTATTAATAATACATATCACAAAAATTAGAAAAAATACTTAAGTACTTACAAGTTTAGTTCCTGAAATGGAAGTTGCCAAATTTTAACGCTTTCCTGTTTTTTATATACAATATTTACAATCAACGAATACAAATTTATTTAGACTAGTAGGAACATAAATTGGTGTGATTTAGCTTATATTAAGTTCAAACCTTCCTATTTCTAACAAATAAATAGAGATATTACAACTTATTCTAAGAAAAAATAATCTACATATATTTATTTTATACAAGTACATATTTACAAGGTACTTTCTGAGAATTGGAAAATCCATCTGAAAATAGTCTGAGTACGAACTTGTATCGCTATATATCACGTGAGATAATACGTTCAACAGCGTTTCTTAATAGATCTCTAACGTACCAACTGGCATTTTGATTATATTGCACTGGTATTTGACCATTTAATATTTGGAATGAATGCATATGACAGTAGGATCCTCAAATGGTGGTACAATAAGCCTTGATGACTACAGTGCTGCCACGCTTGTCTTATGTGTCATTGAGACGAACTAGGGTGCAGGAAATGTGAAAAAATAACAAGATGAAGCATTTGAACTGTTTCACCGTTCGAGAATTTATGGAATATGTCAAACACTCGGACATAACGCTTTGGTGAATCAACATCTTGCACAAATTTGAATATTTTGGGCATTTGATGAAAGGTAGACGATATGAATTGTCTATGACGATCCCAATTTTACTTAGGGAGTATGAACATGAAGAAGGTCGTTAAAAACAGAAGGGATGTCATTCTCAATGCTGCAATGAACTGTATTCTAAAGTATGATGCAAATTTATGGAATAGAGAAAGAGAAGAGTTTCTACATCTCGAATTTGCGCACCTAAATATGTGTACAATGAAGGTGACGCTTAAAATCATATCGGTAACTAAGTGGTATTTGAGCTAATTATATTTAGATAGTACCTTGTAAATTAACTTTAAGTACCTACCTATAATATTGGTAACTTAATAAACGAGCGCACTATATTATTCTACACCTAATATATATCACAAACATTTTGAAATAGTAATAAGTTACATCGAAACAGTCTTTCTAAAATTATTCTAAAAAGCAACTTTCTTAAATCCTAGCCCACCCTGTATACTGGTTTATATCAGATTAAAATTGAAAAAAGCATTTTGTCTCATAAGGTAACTCACAATCAAAACATACTTGGACAATACGTCACAATAAATGGTTTTTAGAATGTGTAGTGTTAACATTTCCAAATTACAACTGCTAAATTTACACCAAAAAACATATACAATATATTCCCGCATTCATACGATACTTCAAACCCAAAAGCTTCACCAACAACTACATGATGTGGAGGACCAAATTTCTTGTCCATTTCGTCCTTTATCAATTTTGCTGCTCCCTAAAAATTACAATAAAATACAAAATTGTCTTGGCATTGCTGTTGATTTACAGCGGAACATTACTACTATTCCGATTGAATTTTTTGTTTTAATCTTAAACTGAGAATCTTGAACGACTAGGAAATTTTTTATTCTATAATTTTTTTGCGAAGTTCAAACTTTTACACTGATAAAAAATAAAAGAATAGCTAGTAACTTTTACGTCAACACAAAAATTTTGGGTTTTCAACGAGGAAACAAAAAAAAATCAATCGAAATAGTTTTCCGATGAAAAATAATCAATTTTATCGCTTTAAAAATGTCCCAAATTTTGTTACTTTTGAAATTTATTTCTATTTTCATCTTCAAATTCCATAAATTATATGGATAATTATATTCTAACATGTTCCAACCCCATTAGTTATAATTTTATTGGAGACATAAATAACCACTCAACGATGCTTAAATATATATTCATGTATATTAGTAATAAAATTATACTTGTTCCATTCCAGGTTTCCCGACATTGTTCGAGAGTCCTGCAATCTTAACTTTACAAAATGTGAGTTACATGCTTTTAACCATTGAAAGCGACTCTTAAACATTTGTTACATCTATTTAAAAAAAGACTTATGGGCATATGAAAGAAGATGACAATGTAGGTATATGTTTTAATTTTTAACTTCTAGTGCTAAGGTAGGCAGGTATGACATAGACATAACAGCAGTTCAAGTAATAATAATATTCGGAATGAACAAATCAAATTGATCTACACAAGGAATAAGTAAAAAGGCAACAGATGATAGTACAGAGGCACACAAGCCAAAACGCATTTGGTGATATCAAAACTAAAGAACATGGACACGTCGGAGCAAAAGCAAGATGAATAAATATAAATGCCCTCGAGCTCGAGAAGACGAGAAAGAAATACGAAGCGACCTAGACTAAAAACACACTGGAAAAACGGAATACAAGCCACAAAATGGAAATAGTTGTAATGTTAAAACTGAATCACATTTTAATTTTGTAACATTCAGTGTGTATTTTGTTAACTTGATTGCTTTAATTATATTTGTCAATATGATATATGTTTTAGAAGTATCTTTTCAATAAAAAAAAGTCAAATCGATTTTTTTATATCTAGTTTTTTATAAGTTTTACTGTTTCTGGTTCTATTCCATATTTGGAACATTTTTGAAAATATATTTGGAAGGTTAGTTCATCTTGTATTTTACAGTATAAATTGCTACTACAAAAAAAGAATACAGATATTGAAAAAGCAGAACAACCAGAGGAAGATAACACACCGCACTGCAGGAACAAGAAGAATACCAGAAGATAAAAAAGAAAACAAGGAATACTGCTAAAATTATAGAAGAATAACTATTGAATACATCTATAAAATCCTGGCAGATCTGATCAACAAAAGGCTATGGATAGAAAAAATTTGGGAGAGCACCAAAACAGCTACAGTCCCGGCAGATCAAATATCAATGGAACACATATTCTAGAATAAATCTACCAGAAGACAGGTAATAGGAATATAAGAAGTATATTATTATAATACACTTTGAGGCATGACTCCTTAAACAGAGAAAAACTGGGGCAAAACTAAAAATGAAACTAAAACTAAATTGAAAATTACATTAGACAACTCCCAGACAAAAGAGCTATTTTAGGGTATAACTATGGCCGCGTTTGAGAATCCACATCGGATGCATTTTTTACATCTCGAGCGTTTTTTTATCCACATCGGACACATATGTCCCATTACATTTACGTATACTGAATCACGTGATCAAAGATTTACTACATCTCAGATGCATCCGATGTGGATTCTCAAACGCGGCATATATACAGACGAATTCCATATAAAACGGGAGTGAAACAAGTTGGCTCCATCTCCCCAACCCTGTTTGACCTAGTATTAAAAATTATCATAAGTAAAATAGAACTGTACAAAAAAAGACATAATTCCAGATGACATTCAAATTATCGGGTAGATGACCTTACAATACTGGCAAACTCGAGAAAAATTATAGAAGCTAGACAACTTCGAATGGAAATAAATCATAACATAAAACAAAATATATGAAAGTAGGAAGAAAAGAAAATAATAAGCAGGAATACCTACTAAAAACACAATTCAAAACAATCATTTATTTTGTATTAAATTTTTTACTATTTTATTTTGAAGTTTAATATATTTTTGGTTTCAGGTTCCTTTCTTTTAACACATAATATTTTGCAAAATTGTTGCAGCGTTAAAATGTGTCTCATAATAAAGTTGCGCTTTTTTCGGGATACAAATGTTTTCTTCTTTTTATCATTTATTTGTTTAAAATTTAACATATTAAAAAAATATCATAATTTCGTTACACACACAGGGCGTTTGTAAGTTGTCATTTTGTCTCAAATACGGACCTGCCGATTTGTTTTGCAATAAGATTGTGATCCACAAGTTAAGAAAATATAAATCTCACAGTAACAGTAAAAAATTATTATTTTAATTTCCTGGCTATGATAAATATAAAATTGTTCCATAAAATTGTTGAAAAATAATAAAATAATACATCCAAAATTATTGTTTTTTTAATAACCAGTATTCGCCTTTTATGTTGAATTTTATTTTATTACTTGTGATACATCGTTTGCATTTTATCAAGTAATTGATGTCGTTTGATTTCTTATTAATTTTACAGAAATATACTTATTTAGTTATTTTATTCTAAGCTAAACAAAAACTTAATAAGCACGTATCAATTGAATAATAAAATGCTGGCAGCTATAAGGTGTTATAAAACCACATTATTTATATTGATGTGTTAAAACTTTCTCTAGTATGTAAAAAAAATGTTCAACAATATTGTATATAAACGATTTAATCAATAATTTTTTCAAGTAAGTGGTTAAAAAATTAAAAAATAACTTCAATTTATTTCCAAATGACTGCTGCTATATTTCCACCAAAAAACAAGTAACACACATTTCCGATTTCATAAGAAATTTCAAATCCATATGCTTCGCCAACAACTACGTTATATGGAGGACCAAACTTTTTGTCCATTTGCAGTTTTATCATTTTTGCAGCTTCCTACAACCAAATCAACAATATAAAAAGTATTAGTTATATAAATTTTTCGTTCCTGGAAACCTGAGATAATTTTATTTAATAATCAAATCGACAGTTGTAAGGAGAAACTGTTAATACGCCATTATATTGTGACTTCACAGGAGAGCTGTTTAAAGTTTGGATATTTTTGGCTTATATAAATACATAGTTTCTCATGACCTATCCAAAATTAAAAATGTTTAAAATGCCATAAAACTGGCTGATTAAGATCAAACATATACATAAATTCACACAGAAAAATCAGCAGTGTCTTGATGTTATAAATATCTCAATTTTGGCCAAAGTGGCATATTAGTCATTTCTCCTTTCAAGATGAGTTGAAATAAAAATAATGAATAGATATGTATTAATCTGCTGCATGGTGATTAATGATAATTAATATAGTCATATTTGTGAAAAATAGACCTTTTTCTATTCAATTTCATGTGAATATATTTTAAGAGGACTATATACCTCATTATTGGCTGCAAATTTTTCACAAGCTGTAGTTACTATTTCAGCAGCTTCATTTTGAGTTTCGTCGGACATATCAGAATGCTGAAAAAAAAAATATTAATGCTAGAAGTCTCAAATATCATATACCTGAAAAAATTTGGGCAAATTCAAATATATTTTGCAAACGGGCGGGGTGGTGCCCTTTTTAAAGAGGCGCTAGAATTCAATTACATAATATGTAATTAATATATAAAATTATTTTCATACATTTGTAGATAAATATATCATTTTTTTAAAAGTTTCTCCATCTTAATGCTCTGAACCCTGGGTAAATAAATATAATCTCCATTTTGTAAGAAGTGAAATTTACAATTTTATGAAATCATGGGTTTCTCTATTTCAATCGAAAAATCCATGGGAACAAAAGCCGTTTTATCAATTTCTAAAGACGTCACGCATTCATTAACTTGTTTATTAATTAATCAATAAGCTTATATGAAAATAATGTTAGATTTTGTATGCATGCAAATTTTGAAATTTATTAAAAATCATTTTTGTCGCTCTCATGCAAAGGATGTAAAGTGTGTTGATAGTGTAAGCTCCCTACTAGTCTGTACTATATGTACTATAAATACTATGTATAATTTTATCTAGTTAACACTCTCTGATGTCAATATAATTTTTTCATTGTATGTCATTTAATACACATTTATATTTTAAAGGAGTTTACTTTATTAAAAAAGCCTCATTGACAAAGTGCATGGCAAATTTAAAAAAAAAAACTTAAAAGTTCTGCGCTTATTTTATTACTTGACTCTAAGATTTTATTCATTATTCTAAACATATTTTCAAACTATTTTTAGTAAAATTTAATCAATAATTTATGACTCACCCTTATTAGAGGATACGTATTTACTACTCTTTTGGAATCATCTCCTTTCTTCTCGTCATCTGCCATTTTGATGTTTTAAATAACTATTTATTTAAATAAAATTATATTCAAAGGTTTTAATTTTATAATTTGTATTATAGCGCGAGTAAAGTTGTTTATAAATAAAATGTCAAAAACCAATTTTGCCAACATTAAATTTTTTAAAACGCTAAAGCACAGTTTACATATTACCATGTAATAAAAGATGACGGCTGTATGCAGGAGTAGGTCGAAAGACATCCAACCGGATTCCAGAATAAGAAGATGAAATTTAGACAGTGACAGTTGTCATCATTTGATTTTGATGTAATGTTTTCAAAAAAAATTTTTCTAGTCAAATTTTTCCTAAAACTAAAAATATAACTAGTATCAATATCTGATGTTATATAAATTTAGAAAAATAATTGTAAAAAGGACAAATTTAAATAATAACAATGGATTATATTGCAGAAACTATCGCTTTAAGTATAGATTCTCTTATTCTAGCAGCATGTATTAAACAGTTTTACAAAAATAAAAATGCAATGGCAATGATTCAAGGTGCTCCTTACCTAGACATAAATAAAGATTTAAAAGAAATTGTAGGCACACATCCAGAAAAAAAATTAACCTATGTATCAATTAGGGGGACTGTAAAACCCTTAGGGAACCCTATATTTAGTAATACTAATCCTAATGTAAAGGGCGTTATACAGTTGTTAAGGATAAAAGAGCATGTTATTCAACGAAGCACGGCAGGATTTTGGGCTGATTCTGAAAGAGTAATACAGGAAGTACACAATGTCATGCCTTTTGCACTTGAAAATAAAGGAATTCAAATTGAAGTATGTGATGCTCTAGCTGCCGATGTATTAGGTGAGTAAGAATCAATTAAAGTGATGCTGCTACTACATTATACTTTTTATAGATATGGATGTAATAGCCGATAATTTCCAACCAACTGTCCCTAGTGTAATTGATCATATATGGAGTTTTTTTGCTGGGGTAAGACAGAGAGGTGTACAATCTACAGAAAAAATGCTTAGGACAGGAACTGTTATAACAGGTGATTTTTAATAAGTTAATATTTATAGTCATCTTAATTTTTCCCATTTCTAAAAAACTTTAAAATGTACTGTTTACATCACAATATTACTTTTCCACTATTAGGTATTGGAGAACTGGTGGCAGGCAAAGATGGAAATCTAAAGTTACAACCCCCTTCAAATGATGGCCCTTTCTACCTAACTAATATGAGAGTAACATCTTTATTAAAAAAACTTGATGGTTCTAAAAGAAATTATAAAATATTGTGTATAGTGTTTGGCTCGATTGCTGTAGTACTAGGTGGACTTATTGTAAGGAAATACTTGAGGATAAGAAAAGAAAAAGGTGATGCAGAAAAACAAAGAATGCAATTAGAATTATCAAGAAGAGAAAGGAGGAGACGAATTAGAGATGAAGATCTTGATGAAAATCAGCTGTGTGTTGTTTGCAAGACAAATCCAAAAGAGGTAAATTGTTTTGCTAAGAATTACCTTTATTTCAATAAGTCGGAGGTACATAAGTGATGCAATCATTGATTTATTTAATTAAATACAGACATACAAATCAACTTGAGACACTGCATACCATAATATCATGTAGCAATTATTCTGAATTATAACATTTAAAAGAACAAAAGTCCTAGCATTTCTAATCAGTTATAAAAATGTACTTCAATAAGTTGATGTGATTTTCAGAATATAATGCCCCTTTACTAGCTTATAACAAAAGTTATCTACATGCATCTTTCCAGATAAATTATAATCTAAAGGCACACACCTATTTTTAACATTCTGAATTAATTAGTAGTTATTTCTATTTTATTTGTTTATTAAAATTGATATTTTTTTCAGATGATATTAATTCCATGTGGCCATGTATGTCTATGTGAAGACTGTTCAGCAGATATCACAGAGAACTGTCCCATATGTAGATCAGAAATAAATTATAAACATGTGGCTTATGGAATATAGAATTTTATAATAAAATTGTAAAATTAAATTGATTCAAATTCATTTAAGTTTGGTGCAGTTTTGACATTTCAATGGTTTTAAATTAATTTATTTAAATATGTATTTATTGACTACCTGTCATCATGTACAGTAAATTTTATTAATTTCAGTGTAGTAAAACTAGGTATGATGATAAAAACAGTACTCCAAACAAATGGTTTTATTATATTTGATCAAATAAAACCTGTTCATATTTTGTTAAGTTTTATTGTTATAGTTATAAAAATAAAATCTATTTAAATTACAGGGTTTCAATTCAAATTAAATCCTTAATTCTTTTAAAACAAGTTCATTAATTTTAACTGGTTTCATGCTATCTGTTCCAGAACATAAACATGTTTTATCTTCTTCACCTCTACAGATACCCGATGATTTATTTTTCTCTTCATTTTCCTTTAATAGCCTTTTGACTTTACTGGATTTTCCAATACCTAACCTAGGCAAACCTTTATTTAAACCTTCTAGTAAAACACAAGCTTTGCAAATTTCTTGGGATGAAACATAACCACATCTAGTGCAGTTCGTCAATTTTGGCATTTTAGATGTTTCACTTACTTTCATTGTTTCACCTAAAATACAAATTTCATCTTAAGTCAGTTCTTGAGAAAACAATTCTATTTCGCTTTAGAAATTATTAAAAAACTACCTGAATGTATTATGTTCATTATCACAGTAGGGTCTATTTTTTCCAGATCTTTCAAAAGTACCCTAGCATGACCTCTATAAGCATTTGGTGCAAAGACACATTCAGTTGAGAAATATACCAACTTTCTAAAATAAGCATACATTACAATCTCTTTTTCATAACAGTATTTCAAAGGTTTTACTCTAGGTATTCCATCTCCACTATCCTAAAATAAATTTGGATTCACAAATACTTTCTATAGCATATTTAAGGTACCCTTATTATTTTACTTACTGTTATTATGGAAGTACATCGACTTAATCTTGCTAAATCTCCTCTTAAAATATTCATTAAAACAGTTTCTGCAATGTCATCAGCATTATGTCCTGTTGCTAAGTAGTCTACTTTTAGAAGATTTGCTCCTCTGTCCAAGGCTTGTCTTCTAAATACTCCACAAAATGTACAGTTATTCTTTCTTCCAATCTAATAAGATAATTTAAAGAATTTTAGGCCAAGGAAAAATTATTTTTTAGTAGTTCAATTTTGTGAAATACAACCTACAAATTAATACCCCTTTAGAAAATAATAACTAATCAACAAATAGGATCCCCTTAAATTTTTACTGATCAATACATGAGTAGGTATAGTTAAAAGTGTATTTACGAACTTCTGCAACTATTTCATCCATTGTCCATCCATACAGATCCTTATATGACAAAATTTTCAAAGACATTTCATAATCGTCCCTATTTTGCTTAACAGTATCTAAACTATCATCTCTATATCCAGTTATTCCTTCATCAATTGATAAAAGAAGTAATTTCAACCTATAATCATATTTTTCATTGAGTAATTTTAAAACATAGGCTAAAACTGTGGAGTCCTTGCCACCTGAAGCAGCTATAGCTACTGTTGTATTTGGTGTGAATAGTTTTGCTCTAGTTATTGTGAAGTGCACTTCGTTTTCGAAAGCCTCAAAAAAACATTCCTTGCACAACACATCTGACGTTTTGGGTCTCTAAAAAAAAAGTGTTTTAACGGTATAAAATTAGTAGTCACACTTACTTTTAATATGGCATTTCTGCCACATTTTGCAGAACAAGATGGCATGGTTTTTTCTTAAATTAATTTAAATGAGAAATGTGAATTTGATTTTGGACAAGTATCATAACCTCACTTATTTATATCTTCTTTTCACAGATCACACCTTTTTTTTACTCTGCCACTCTTCTTCTTTTTTTAAATTATTTTTGTTTTCTTTGCTATTCCACTATTTATTTTTTGCCAAATTGCACCCTAAATGAAGACAACTTTTGTCCCTGACTGTATTTCTAAAAATAAGAGTTTATTTTCTCTAGAAGAAGATGATTAGTTCGAACGTTCCAGTATAACCTATAATTACTACATTTTATTTGTCAATAATAATAATAAATAAGTTAGTTTATAATTAATATTTACAAATTAAAAAATGGATGATAGTGGTCCATCTTCAAAGGTAAGCTTTATTTTATTGTAAATAATATCTCTATTAAAAAAATATTTTTAGAGGTATAGGCGTGAAGAAAATAGTAATTCAGAATCAGATGATGATTATGTTCCTTATGTACCTGTTAAAGAAAGAAAGAAGCAGCAGTTATTAAAATTAGGCCGCCTAGGGCAGGTATACAATTAAAATAAGGACTTACAATAGACAATTATTCGTTAACCATAATAATTAATTTATTTTAGCTTAAAGAAGCTGAACAATCAAAACCAAAATCTTCAAGTGAAAATGAAACGAATGAAGATGAAGAAGAAGATGAGGTTTGGGGAAGGAAAAACAATATCCCTTTACTTGATCAACATACTGAGCTCAGGAAGTTGGCTGAAGGTGAGTTTAGTTTCAAATTAATAAAAGTACCAATATTTGTTTAATCTTTAATCACTAATTTTATTGTACTATATTTCTGTAGCCAAAAAGGTAAGTGCAGTGGAGAAACAACTCAAGAAGGAAGAGGAAATTTTGGAAATTGTAGCTGAAAAGAAAGCTTTGATGGGTGTTTCAGAATTAGCTAAAGGAATACAATATATAGATCCTATAAAAACAAGGTAATATATCATACATTACTTATGTTATAGAAATTGCTATTATATTAAGATAAACATTTTCAGTTGGCGTCCACCTCGTTATGTTCTACAAATGCCTCCTAGTCGACATGAAAATTTAAGAAACAGTCTTAGAATATTAGTTGAAGGAGAAGAAATTCCCCCACCTCTAAAGTCTTTTAAAGAAATGAAGTTGCATGATGGTATAATTGCTGGTCTCAAAGAAAGAAACATAAAGAAGCCAACTCCCATACAAATTCAAGGAATACCTACAGTGTAAGGCTTTTCTTAAAATTATTGTTTATATAAGGTGTTTCAAATTCTGGTGCTTAGATAAAAATGGCCAGAACAAAAAAATAAAACAACTTTTTTTTTTAATATAGATTATCAGGAAGAGATATGATAGGCATAGCTTTCACAGGTTCTGGTAAAACCCTTGTTTTTGTCTTACCTTTAATAATGTTCTGCACGGAACAAGAAATCAAACTACCATTTATTAAAAATGAAGGCCCATATGGATTGATTATTTGCCCATCTAGAGAATTGGCTAAACAAACTTATGATATTATACAACATTATTCCATTAGTTTAAGTAAACATGGCATGCCCTTGATAAGAAGTTGTTTAGCTATTGGGGGTGTTCCTGTAACAGAAGCTATTGAAGTTATTCAGAAGTAAGTATTACTGCAAATAAATTCAGGATACCTACCAACTTTATTGTCACACATTTTTATCAGTTTTTCATACTTAATTATTTTTATTTATTTTGGTTCTGTATTTTATACAGCATTTTTTATACAATATTTTTTTAATAATTATGCATTTTTAGGGGTATTCATATAATGGTTGCAACCCCTGGGCGTTTAATGGACATGTTAGAAAAGAAAATTGTAAAATTGACAGTTTGTAGATATTTATGTATGGATGAAGCAGACAGAATGATAGATTTAGGTTTTGAAGAGGATGTCAGAACAATTTTTTCCTATTTTAATGTAAGTGATTAACATAAATTAATAAAATAAAACATACTTTTAAAGTAACATAACTACTGCAAAAATTTTAAAAACATTAATTTTAATCACTTATTTAGTAAACAGTTTTGATTATTAGAAATTAATTATGAAACATCAGATTAATTATCCTTTTTATGTATTTATAAAATTATATAAGTTGCATTTTTTTAATATGGAATTTGAGACAAACAGTTCTTCTACTTCTTAATTTTTGCACATAACTTTGTTTTTTTTTTTTTGTTTAAAGGGTCAAAGACAGACGTTACTTTTTTCTGCAACTATGCCAAAGAAAATCCAAAATTTTGCAAGATCGGCATTGGTAAAACCAATAACAATTAACGTAGGTAGAGCAGGAGCTGCTTCCATAAATGTTGAACAGGTAATTCACATAGCAAGATAATTAATTTTTTTAAATATCTTAATTACTATTTATTAACTTTTAGGAAGTGGAATATGTTAAACAAGAAGCCAAAATTGTATATTTGTTGGAGTGTTTACAAAAAACTCCACCGCCTGTATTAATTTTTGCAGAGAAAAAACAGGATGTGGATGCTATACATGAGTATTTGCTTTTAAAAGGTGTTGAAGCTGTTGCCATTCATGGTGGAAAAGGTATTTTACCTTAGTAATCTATATCGCAGCTCTTATCACATAATTCCATACAAAGACAACCAACTAATATATATTATATCAACAAAAGACCCCAGTCTGTAAAGCTGTCAATCCAGGACAACAATTTATCTCTAAATCCAAAGTGTTTAATTTCATAATCAATCTTGTGTTAAACTTTGTCAAATGCTTTTTCATGATCTAGATAAATACCATCAAAAGGATAATTTGTCTAATCAATGTTTAACTGTTTAGACCAAGAAGAGCGTTCCAGATCTGTAGAAGCGTTTAGAAAACAAGAAAAAGACGTATTAGTAGCTACTGATGTAGCTTCTAAAGGATTAGATTTTCCTGATATTCAACATGTTATAAATTACGATATGCCTGATGATGTTGAAAATTATGGTAAGTTATTTGCCCTCCGAGGAGAAGTTTGAATTACTTTATTTCCTGCTTTAGTTGAGTTATTTCAGGTTTAAATATCACATTTTAACATCTGACATATTTGGGAGAAAAAGACAATTAATAATTTTTATTTCTAGTTCATAGAATTGGTCGTACAGGTAGATCAGGAAATAAAGGATTGGCAACGACATTTATAAACAAATCCAATGATGAATCTGTACTACTCGATTTGAAACATTTACTAATGGAAGCTAAACAGAAGGTCCCGACGTTCTTGGCAGAACTGTGCTCTGAAAGTGAAAAATACCTCGCTCTTGGGGGTAAGAAATTTGAAACATTTCTAAATATTAATCTTCAGTCACCAATTGTTATAATAATAATAATTAAATTTTAGCTACTTTATTATGAATCAAAGTTTATTCTGTTTACTTGTTGAAATATGTATAATTTTTATTTCCATATTTAATGTGGAATTATTGTTGTAGGCGAACATGGATGCAGTTATTGTGGTGGTTTGGGACACAGAATTACAGACTGTCCTAAATTGGAAGCCCTACAAAACAAACAAGCTTCTAATATTGGAAGGAGAGACTATTTGGCCAACACTGCTGCTGATTATTAATAAAATAATATTAATGTGTACATGCGTGATATTTTTAAAATAATTTTAATTTTTGTAATAAATATAAAAATAGATTTTTTAATTGTAGTTATTTTAATATTAGTGCAATAAAATATTTTCGGCACTATTAGAGATATAAAAAACATTACAAAACTCCATATTTTAAAATTATTTCGAATATTTACAGGATTCAATAACTTCATTCTGGAATAAACTATGTTTTTTTTAAAGGGTTCGTCTGTATTTTATATTTGAATACCCTCGCCTAATTGAACAGACAATATACAAGCATATTCAATAAACTTTCCACAAGAAGTTGGAACTACATTAATTTTGCTCAATATATTTTTATAGAACATTGCTGTCATTAGAAGCAACCTTCCCATACATCTCTCAAATGAATCACAAATTAAAATATGCATAAGTTTTATGCTATACACCTGCTTACAGGATGTTTGTAGAATTGTAGTTGTATCTAATATTTATAGTACCATAGACGTACGAAATATTTATGTGAACATTCCTCTTTGTTTACTACCAAAATTTTCCATTTTTTTAATAAAAAAATAAGTCTAGCACTAAAATTACATCGGAGATTCATTACATAAGTACTTAGCGGATACCTATGAGGCCTCTTTAAACTGGAGTGCAGGGCTATCACTTAGAATTTGACTATCACGGAAAAGGTATTTAACTTTTTCCCACTAGTAGGTAGTGCGACTTAAGACAAAAATATGCACGTTCCAAAAAAAGATGTGGCAATAAAAAAATCATTTTAAATAATTTACTTGATTTATTAATTTGAAGTCTAAATTTAAAACAACAAACTTCATGTTCTTACACAGAGCATTTTCAGTTACAAACAACATTCACTTTACATTGCTTACAAGTTACCTTTATTACTTTGGTAAATTCAAAAATCACAATAATAGTAAATATTACATCTAGAAAGATTTATTGGATAAACAAAAATCCACAGGATTATAATCAATAATATAATAGTAATCAGAGAGTATTGAACGTCAGAATTAAGACAGTTTTCAATCATGGAGCAAATCAACAAATTGTTTGTTTACTTTACTGATACTAGCCCAATAAACAAGCACAATAACAACAATCAGTACAGTTCAACCATTCCTTATTCCAAGAAATGGTTTCGAGATCAATTTTTTAGATGGCACACATTGCCTGTAAAATGTAAAATTTGCAGAAATAGAATTATGTGTACAATATGTAAATCTCTTTTTAAACCCATTTAATATCTAAAAATAGCTGTTAGATAAATTTGAGGGCACATAATAAAACACATACAAAATACTTTGCTTAATAATAGATTATACCAATACAAAAATGATTGTGTAATATTTGACTTTAGTACAGAAATGGCATCATGCACACATATTTCCCCTGCAACTCATATAGAAAATAAATAACACCATCCATATCAGATTATAATAAAGAGAACTACTGGCTATTTTTTTTTTAAATAAAATCAAAGTTTACAGCATTTAGACTTCCTCACTTCTTGCAGTATATTTAGGAGGTGCCTCCTTGTTAGCAGCATTAGGAAATACAGGTCCTGATTCTAAAATAGTTTCATCTTTAATTAATGACAGTTCATCACTAGCTATTAGTAATTTTTCATCAGGTATGTCAATTTCTTGGATTTCTTCTTCTGAGCCGTTTCGTTTTTCTGTGGAGAAACTCAGCCATAGGGCAATTAAGACAGCTGATAAAATGGCGGAAAGCAGTATCCATCTTGGTATGCCAGAGTTCCTTGAGGCGCAATCCAACCAGTCACCAGTTTCTTTAACCTAATATTAACATTAAATTATTTAAAATGTATATACTATGTATAGTCAGGTTTTCCCATAGGCTTTTGCCAGTTTCAGAGTTAATTACCAAAATAAATTTTAAAAATATATGTATAGTCTATATCGGATAAACATTATGTTATAAGGTGAAATCAAATCAATCCTTTAGTACAGTGGCGTAGACAGCCATTTTTCATGAGAGGGGTTTTTATTTTTTTATTTATACGGAAACTCCATTTTTACAATTTTAGTAGAATAACAAAATATATCAAAATTTCATAAGTGATACTAACACAACAATATCACATTTATACCAAAACAACCTAATTTAATTTAGTTACATAATTTTGGAAATATGTTTTTTAAACTGATGAGATCTGAACTTAAAATGATCGATATTATGTTTTTGAGAACTATGGGGGGGGTTCCATCAAGAAAGAGAATAAAAAACAGTCAATAGCGATCAGCGCCAATACTATAGCTGAAATGTTGACGTGATGACCCTTTAGGGAGTGGTTTGGGTTCAACCCTCCCCCCCTGAGGCTATGCCACCATTAACATTCATTTTTCATTAGCACCTATGGGACATTTAGTATAGATATATTATAAACATAAATACTAAGCAAACTTGAAGAAACTGATCAAATCAAGGGCATTTTATTTTAAGTTGTTAAGCTTCAAGAAGTGGGGTAAATATTAAATTATTATTTATAAATATACTTGTTTCCCCATCTTGAAATCTAAATTGTAGGAAAATATCTTCCAAAATTTTTGATTTGGCATAAAAACAAATCCCTGTAACCCAAACAATAATTGCTAGAGTCAAAAAACAGCCTAAGAAGTTTGCTGAAACAAAAAAATGGAAAGCCACTTTTACCTTAAATTCTTCTTCTATTTCAATAGGCATGGTTCTAATGTTAGTAGCTGGGATTTTATAATCAATATTAAATCCAATTTCCAACTGACTTTTGATACTGGGATCTGAAAGTAAATCTAACTCGATTTCTCTGTCTGGACTTGCCAACACAATACTGTTTTCTGTCTCGATCAAAAATGTTGAAATGAAACTCTACAAAAAAAAAACCATTTTAGTTTAGACATAAGAGGATAGAATTATAAAATGTAAGAGATGCTGATTATTAAATTAGTGTTTAGTAAAATTTGTATTGTTAAGATTGTTTTAGGGCTTTAGATAGTTGATAAAAATAAAGTACCTCTTGTTCTTTAGCCATAAGATTACATCCTGTTTGACATATATCTTTTTCTTCGTTTATAATATACGATTCTTCGCACGCTACAACATAAAAAACCATTACAGATATGTAAAAAAAGTCCATGCCTATACTCACAAATGTGACATTCTTTTTTTGTCTGATTAATATTAGGAATATCCTTAAATTTGATTATATTAAAGAATCTGCATCCTCTTTGACAAACTACTTGCTCATAAAAAGCCTAAAAATGATAAAATACAGAATAAGTAGAATAACGATAAAAAAATTAAATAAATTATTACCAAATCCAAGGTAGGTAATTTTACATTTTTGCAAATACTTATACATTGATCTGAGCCGAAAATAGGTGCCGATGTAACGTAATTTGTAACAAAAATGAATATTAAATAAGTAACATCTTTCATTGTCATATTGATAAAATTTTGTTAAAAATAAATTTTCGGAATTTTTTACATTGATTGACACCACAGAACACTTACTCTTAGAACGGTAACTCCCATGTTAAAAAAGGATGATAGAGTTTTTAGCGGCACCTGGTGGACGTGGTTGATTTTTTTTCAATTAAGTCCTTGTCTAGTAAGAGGCCATATGAAAGAAGAGAAAATAATAAAAAGAAGAAGAGAAGAAAAGCGCGGGGCTATTCAAATTTGACAGTAAAAATTATCCGCATTAAAAACTGTTAGCCAAATTAAGATTTGTTCACACAAATTGCATTTTTGCTTTATTATAGCGAATATCGCTATAATAAAGCAAAAATGCAGTTTGTGTGAACAAATCTTAATTTGACTAACAGTTTTTAGATAAAAAAAACAAGAATATTCAAAAAATAAATTTATTAAAGAATATATATAATACAAGTCCAATATTTAAAAAATGTAATGTATATGAAAATTGTATTATGTATGAAGTAGCTGGATGGCTGCTACATATTCCAGGATACAACACTGTCCATCATTTTGTGAAAAACTTGATCTGTGAAAAAAGAAAGACAGTATAAGTACAATCTCATTAAAATAAATGGATTAATAAAAAATTATAAGTCCGAGGAATACTTTATTTTTTAATAAGTCCAACATCTACGATACAGGTTTGCAATCCCCCAACGTCATGAAACAGAAAATACACAGTATATGTCGCGTTTGAGAATCCACATCGAATGCATCTGAGATGTAATAAATCTTTGATCATGTCATTCAGTATACATAAATGTAATGGAACAGATGTGTCCGATGTGGATAAAAAACGCTTGAGATGTAAAAAATGCATCCGATATGGATTCTCAAACGCGGCAAGTATAAAATAAATGAGTAGAGTACTAACTTTCCTTCTCGAAAAGAAGTCCAACATATATTATTAGTCTGCTTCTTCTTCGACGATACAGCTTGGCAACCCCAAACGTCATGAAACAGAAAATACACAGTATAAGTATAAAATAAATGAGTAGATTACTAACTTTCCTTCTCAAAAAGAAGTCCAACATGTATTATTAGTCTGCTTCTTCTTCGACGATACAGCTTTGCAACCCCAAACGTCATGAAACAGAAAATACACAGTATAAGTATAAAATAAATGAGTAGATTACTAACTTTCCTTCTCAAAAAGAAGTCCAACATGTATTATTAGTCTGCTTCTTCTTCGACGATACAGCTTTGCAACCCCAAACATCATGAAACAGAAAATACACAGTATAAGTATAAAATAAATGAGTAGATTACTAACTTTCCTTCTCGAAAAGAAGTCCAACATATCTGATTAAGCTGCTTCATATTCCAGAAAGGTCACAACTGTTTCTCACTGAAAAAAAATCATAAAACGAACACCATACTATTACTACTACTGCCACCACCACCACTACTACTAATTTTTTTTGGGTTTTGTTTTTTTTTGTGCTTTTACTTCTAATTATACTACTTTACTACTAATTTTTTTGGGTTTTGTTTTTTGTTTTTTTAATACTTTTACTTCTAATTATACTACTTCTACTGCTAATTTTTTTGGGTTTTGTTTTTTGTTGTTTTTTTTTTGTTAGTACTTTTACTTCTAATTATACTACTTCTACTGCTAATTTTTTTGGGCACGAAATAACAGCGGAAAAAGCACAAGATAACAGTTCAAAACGCACAAATTTATAATGGAAAAACAAGCTCACTAACAGTGGTCAACTAAATCAATCAAGCAAATTGGAAATGAAAACACAACTGAACACAACCAAGTCACCAATATAAATAAACACCATGGAGGAAGGATTATAAACACGTTTGGTTTAAGCCAAGACGCCATGACACCCCCCCAAAATCAATATTCACCTGTCATTTACACTCCCACCACCTACCCCACCACCCGACTGCAGCGCCACGCGGACGTGGTTGATTGATCCTTGACCTGCGCATACCAGTTTCCCACCCCTGATTGACACTGACAGTGATAAAATATAAAATGTTTGCAATGCGCAATGCTTCAAATAAGTTCAATTGCGCAACTAAGCGTCATGCGCTTTTTCTCTTCTTTTTTTACTAACTTGGTCTTCAGATACTTTTTTGAAAAATAAATATCTATAATATATTGAGAAATGAAATAAAATTCATGTAATTACTTGTTCAAACCATGCAGTCGTAGTTATATGGATCCACTGACTTCTAGGATCAAAAACAAGGTGGCTGGTATTTCAAGTTCTTTTCAGAAGCTACTAATGTAGAAATTCACACAAGGTAAGAGACCATTAGAGAAAATGTCATATTTTAAAAATATGCGGGAAGTGACTTTTTTAATTTGCCTCGTATATTTATTGGAAATAGGTAAATATCTGATTCAAACATTAATATAAATAATTAATTAACTTATTTTTTAACCAGGTACAGGGGTACCTCAAGAATCCTGCGAAGTTAGCTGTGATGAAGACAAACTAATAGCATTTTTAGCCAGTATGGAAGTCTTGAGTCCAGAAAGCATATTTAATTTAGCAATTAATGAATTGGAATCCATTTGCAGGTTTTATTTTTAAATTATCTACTTTCTACAGCACAAGAGTTGAAATAAATACCTTGAATACTGATGCGTTAACATAATTTTAATGTTTTTAGCTAAAAAACACAGATACTATACTAAAAATCATAATTTCGAGTCTCTGATTGTAGTGACAACAATAATGGAGAAACTTTGTGGATCACATAGTAACAATCTTCATATTCATATTTGTGAGAAAGAGTCAGGCTGCTTCTTAACTTTATATAATGAGATTTGGGCACTCTTAAAATTCCTCTTTGGGTTTCTATATTAAATTTAATCAAATCTACATCTATATAATAAGCACTTTCTCCGAATAACTTAGCAAAACGTTCCATCACATTTTTTTTAAAGTAAACTGGTGATATTTCTATGTTGTTTGTTTTAGGAAAAAACAGCGATACATCTATGTAAATGTAATTACTCATTTTTAACAGAACAGTTCAAACAATCAAGAGGTCCACCATTATACCCATTTATTTCATCAAAACTAAAAAATAAATAAACGAACTACACAAGATTCAGAGAACAAGATTTTTAGGTTAAATTCTTCATCCTTCTGTATAATTTTTTCAAGTAGTGTATGTAGGTGGACAAATTACTTTCTTTTCACCGTGAACAGAAAGGACAATTTCGTCTTACTACAAGAATGCTTACAAGTATAAAACAAAAAGCAGCAAATCATAGATTTAATACAGAATGGTGTGTAAATGTTTTCTTTTAATTCTTTTTAAAAATTATTTACTTTAGAAGGTTTACAAAAAATCTAGGTTTCTTCACCCTAATTTTTTATTGGTATTTTCTGAAAATTTCACAAAATCGGACTAAAAAGTAAAGGCTCAGAAGGAATTAGAAATTTTCAAGCTGTTCGGTTTGCTTTTAATATCTTTTATACCCTATTCATGAACAGTTATTTATGAAATTATTAAGCAATTTCTTTCATTTCTCCACAATGGTCCCCTGCGCTAACTCCTATAACTATTACAGTACGCGTTAACAGACGTGCCAGGCAAAATAAAGATGAGATGCTTAATTATTTGGATGTGAAAGCTATAGAGTAAATGGTTTACTCACGCCCTTTCGATGGCCAGCATGGACTATTGTGGTCCGCATACACGACGACGTATTATTCTATTTCTCTCTGTTCAATAGCATTTTGTTTCTATACTGTTCTCCTCGAGTCAGGATTAAAGATTTAACATATTGTATATATGGTGTTTAGTTATTGGTTATATATATATATAATACCGTCAGTTAATGAACTTATAACTACTTTTATATCGTATTTTTAATTGTTTATCTGTAAAATGTTTTAGTCAGTTAACAGACAATTTGAAAGTGATCGAAAAATCATTTAATGATTGTAAAACGAAAGATGCAAGAGGCCTGTATATTTCTTTGATAAGAGGAGTACAAGCTTTCAATAATAGAATTTGTTGTGCTGATAACAATCCATATATTAAAAGTATGTTTGTAAAGTAACTTCAATAAGTGCTTTTAAACAGATCACGTTTTTAGAGTTTTATGTTGTACATCCATGTTTATTCGAACTGAGACAAGATTTTGAAAGCTGCAATGGGCCTGCTGATTGGAATGAAGAACCTGACGATCGAAAAGTTTGCAAGTAAATTTATTAATTCTCGACTAATTAACAATGAAATAATATATTACAAGTAAAATGATGTTTTATTAATACTATACAAAATGTGTTAATTATTGTAGAACATACAAGACTATTCTTGATTGCTACTATATAAAATCTGCAAAAGTTTGTGGACAACAGGCAGCTATGGCAATGAGTTTATTAATAGAGGATGTGGTTGAAAATGTACTAGGCCATTCCTGTAAAGGCATTAACAGTTTTCCGCTTGTTAAAGATATGATGCCCGACAAATATATAGAAAGAACCAGTTCAGCAAAGGTATGAATAATTAACTAAAAATAAATATGGAAAAATTATATATAATGGAATCTTTGATGATTATAATTTTTCCATAGTAATTTGTTTTTCAAGAATAATTTTTAATTATTTCAGGGAATTACATCTTCAACCATTCTAGTACTGAAAATAGGATTGTTAGGAAACATAATAATGCTCATATTATTTCCATAATAGCCACTTTTATCTTATATCACTATACCATTATACAAGAAATAATTTATTATATTTATTTAAAAATTAAGGAGTAGTTCTTTCTTTTATATTATTTTACAGATTAGATTTTGAGCCTTGGAGACTTGGTACAATTTTTAACCTTTTCAGAATGGCAGTGATAATAATCACTGTTTATCTATCATGCTTTAAACTCGAGTTGTTTCCCAACTGAAGAGTTAATAAAAATGTATGCAACTTTGGTTGTTATCCGTCCTGAAAAGGTTAAACAAACCCCACATGATGTATTTTACACAATTAAAAGAACCTTGTGGTTCTTCAACATTTTGTACATATTTCATTATTTAATTTTAATTTATAAATAAAACTTTCATTTTCTACAAGCGAAATGTTACGAATTAGGTATTAAAACTAGCTCTATACCTGTAAAGTTTTGTTAATAACTTCTATGCAACCAAACTAAATAATGTAGGACTGAAAAATTACTGAAGGTAAAAAATGGAATCGATCGTTAGGTGCATTTATATTAATACTATTTCACCTCCATGGGAAATTGATGAATCAAAATCACTCTTTTAACTTGAGTTAAGGATTAATTTATTAACTGCAAACTGTTCAATACCAATAAAAATAGCCAGTACAGAGAGATGGGATCATATATCAAGTGCAAATAGAAATTCTTTAAGAAAAAATCCATCAATAATTGTAGATTCAGTGAAACAATAAAAATCAACCTACTCATGTCGAAACTTTGAAATGGGCCAATAGTCTTATCAGAAAAGCTTCATGTTCCAAGATAAAAAAACTAAAGTGCCCAATTTTGCTCTAATCCATCAAAAAGTTTATGATAAATAGAAAATTTTAAAGATGTGACAGCATAAAACTTTAAGAACTAACCATTTTCTTTCTGGAAGAAATCCTAATATTGAAAATTTAGAAGTAAAATCTCCAAGATTATCTACCAAAAGTAAGAAACTGCTAAGGTTTATTCCAAAGAGAACATGACTTTATAAATTAAAGGAACAACAAGCAAGTTCTTCAACAAAAACTAGCAATCTAATCCTAAATATTACTGACAAGTCCAAGATACCAAAATTGACAAAGATCAGAAAAAAGCATTAACAAAAGTAAGTTTAAAATCAGTTACAGAAGAAAATAAATTGAAACAAGATTAAATTAAAGCTATTACCTATAAAACTAAAGTAGTGAATAATTCTATGGAGATTAGAACGAATGCTGTACAAGATCAAATTAAAGCTGTTGCCAATAAAACTAAAGGAGTGAGGAATTTTATAGAGACTAGAAGGAATACTGTGCAAAATGTAAGTAGTAATAGATTTGAATTACTCATGAAGACGAGGAGAGGAAAAAATTAATTTAGTAGGATTTATGTGTGTCTGAAATAAATTTAACAATGATAATAAAAAACTGGTATAAAACACTATATAAACATCCATTTTTATTATCTAGAGTACTTAAAAAATGGTAAGATTAATTTTATCAACTATTGTTATGATTTTATATTCTACAAGTTTTAAAATATTCACAATGTATTGATAAATCGATGGTTACTAAAAACAAATGCTTTAACATATCTTCATAAGTATTTGTTGTATACTTTAGGGCAGGCAACAAACAATTTTTTTTAAATTAGTTTTTGTATGTGAGCAAAATTTTTTATATCTGCCAATGTTAAGAACCACAAAGTAAAATAGTATTAAATTTTATTCTATGTTAAATATACATCAATTGTACATTAACCATTTAATTTTATTTACTTTTCTTAGATCCACCGAATCCTGAAAACCCCATTATGCTAGCTAGTTCACTAGGAGGTTCATCATCATTAATCTCTTCAATCTTCCTCTTTTCTTTTCGTTTTTCCTTCCTGTACTCTTTTAACTTTTCTTCCTCCTCTGCTAGTTCTTGTAATCTAGTACTCATGTCATATTCTTTCTTTTTTTCCTCAATTTTTTTCTTGTTCTGTTCAAATCTTTTTTTAACAGAATCAAGTGAACTTCTTTCTACTTTCATGGACATCCCCAAATTCCTCTGGTGCTTTTTTCCATTGATGTGATCCAAGAAATTGATTGAATCTTTAACAACACAGTCACACACATTGCAGTAATATCCTCCAGATTGTGAAGTAGGTGTGTTCTTGTTGATTACAATGCTTTTTCCCAACTTAGAATCGAGGTCTACTTTATATTCTCGGGTTTTGAGTAGTTCTCGTTTAATTGGAGGCCCTTTTTTCTTGTTGTCACCTTCCTCTTTTTGATATTTTTCCTCTTTTATCCGCTCCTCTGCTAATTTTTCGTACTCTTCCCTGTCCCATTTTCTTCTATGATCATCTGGTCTCGTAGACATGATTATATTTAAAATAAAAAAAACCTCTTGATTTTAAATAATAGCTCTGATAATAACAAAAGACTACTTTCGACCTCTGTTTACAAATTATTTCAGCTAAAAAGATGATGATGACAGAAGACAGGTGGAAGACTATCATCATTAATGGCCTTTAACTATGGAAATTAACTTTAATTTTTTTGTGTTGGTCTTTTACTTAAACAATACCGTTAAAACTAAAAACTGAAGTTTAACTTAACCCAACTTCATACTGACGTTTGACAATTTTTGACATTTAGGAATATTTTCATTTTGGTATTTAATTAAAAACTGTCTCTTTTTTATGTATTTTTGGAAGTTAAGAGTGATTGTAGGTATTTGATGAATAAATACTTATATTTTTTAAATTCACATTTAACAACATCATATAATTTTTAAATAAAAGAATGGCGGCAGATGAATTAAGTAAGTATTTTAAAAATTTTGAATTGTCATTGTCTTAAACCTAAATATACAATAATAGTAATACTTTCAAATATCTCTAAAATTTAGTATTTATTTCAAATAAACTGCTATACAGATCTACAATGATAATTTAATTTTAGTGCTCTTAGAGCGAGTATTTCTTCGTTTGGGTTCTGCGGAAACTGATGAACAATTACAAAATATTTTGTGTAAATTTTTACCTCCTGTACTTCTAAAATTATCCTCGCAGCAAGAGGGAGTTCGAAAGAAGGTAAATACATTATAAATCCTTAAAAAAACTATTTGAATGTATTGTATTTTGTTTAAATCAGGTTATGGAGTTATTGATCCATGTTAATAGAAGAATCAAAACTAGACCTCAAGTCCAGTTACCAGTTGAAGCTTTGTTAACGCAATATCAAGATCCAGCAGCTACTTCTTTTGTAACTGTAAGTATTCTATGCTGATCAATGTAAAGTTTTAAATAAACCATGAATTTAATAAATGATAAAAATAGTATAGTTGATGTTATACGGACGAAAAGTCGAGTTTTCTTGAGTCCGAAAATACACTTTTCGTCTGTGTTTTATACATTATTTTTTATTCGAATGTGCTCATACATATTAAAAAAATAAATCAATCCAAAATGATATTATTTCCAATTTTTCTTATAACTGAGAAGGCTGTGATCGATAAGAATAGCTAGATATATTATTGATAACAATTAAACAATTGCTCTCATGTCAGCTTTCTTATATGTCAAATGATTTAATTATAGTTTGTGTTTCTCTTATTCACTTAAAAATGCTTCTATTCAAATTTAATTTACATGTGAATTATGGACTACTATATAAAAAAATATCACCAGCAGTGTTAAGAGAATGAAAGGTAAAAACTGAAAATAAAACGGAATGTTAGATGGCAGAGCTAGGGATGTTGCAATGCAATACCAGTAAAGTATCAGTAGCTGTAATGAAAAGAGTATCGGAACTAAAGTATCGATACTGGTATCAAAGGGGTATCGGAACTAAAGTATCAATACTGATGTCACAATATCCCTAAGCAGAGCTCCTTTACTTTTGCGGCCTGGGAGGAACAGATTTTTCATTGTCAGTTAAACTCTGTCAATAACATCAAAGTTAAAACAAATTTAACAAATGTTAAATTTTGAATTTGGGAAATAAAAAAATTATAAAACTCATTAAAACATCGATAAATTTTGATTATTTGATTGGTTAGTACATTAAACTTTATCTTTTTTAATTTTAATTATATTTAAGTCAGTATAATAGTCTCAAGGTAAGTGCGCATTTATTCGTATCGGACGCAATGGAAGCATCGGAAGAATCGTAATTTTCTTGTACACATATTCGGATCGGCATTCCATAGTTTTGTACGGTGCAATCAAAATGTGTGTTTTCATCCAAACACGTCATCAGCACTTTATTAAAAACATACATATTTTTAACATGACATAGGATCTGAATACGCGTCTGTGCAGACACGCGCTTACAAAAATGAAATATTGCAAGAAAACACGGTCACATGATGTAATTTCATTGGACAAAAACTTCGCAAGATTGTGAGGGCGTGGTTTAAAAATACTTAAGATACAAATGATTGAATTAAAAAAATACATTTTTCATTATTCATTCTTTATCTGTTAAACGATACACCATGCCATGAGTTAAAAGAGTGGAGTCAGTGTAATATTTTCTGAAAAAAAAAAAGACAAGATTAAGGTAGTTCACTCGTAAAACGACTTTTCTTAAGAATTCAATAAAATTGAAATATAAGGTTAATGGAAGTGTCTTTTATGTAACAAAAAAAAAAAATGAAATTTTTTGACCATCTGTGAAACGAGATATTAACAATCAAATGGGCATAATTAACACTCTTGAAGCTGGTCATGTAAATCAAGTTATAAAAGAAACTAAAAAACGCTGAATTTTTTGACCGTTTTGGTAAAAAGATATAGATTTTTAAAATAAAAATATTTTTAAAGCAGTCGATGCGTAGTTACGTACAATCATTACAACTTGGCAACATTGTAATCGCTACACTTAACGCGCGGTAACGAATTACACTCGATCAGCTAAGAGGTTGTTATAACCTCGCGACGTGTTCTTGAAACATTAATTCTTCCACTGTATTTGAGAACTGGAATTGACGGTTTTGTTTGAACCAAAACAAGCCCTTAAGATTAGTATGGGGAAGTCACAAATTTCTATAGCCCACCATTCATATATTTGCAACGTTGAAGGATGGATTTTACTTGAAATTATAACACCCTTATATATAAGTGTGTGTTATAATTTTACTTAAAATAGTAATCCGTAAGGCGTATAGTGACACTCAAGGCTGATACCGTCGATCTGGCCCGGAGCGGTACCTGCACGTGGCTCGCTGTGCCGTACCACCCACTCTTGAGAGCTTTTGCCTTCGGGTTGGTATTTTCTTATCATAATAATTAATGATGCTAACATGTGTGTATAGTCTCTTACAAAAATAAAAATTTTTAGCATGGAGAATCTCGAACTTTTGGTATTTACCATTAGGCGATATTTTTATGTACGTCTGTCGTGAGTGAACTACCTTAAAAGGAGTTGTAAGCAAACTGTACAGCTACTATTCAAATAAAGAATTCTGTAAATATTTTCAAATTCTTATATCAAGAAATTTCCTCTAAATCTTCTACAAGAATCAATGAGAACATCCAGTTTGCAGAGTTCATCAAGTAACGTAAACTGTAAAGAAAGGTGTTATATTCACTACTGTGTTTTTATACAAAATGTTAACCTTTAGATGCCTGAGTGGTTTTTGTTTGTTTTTAGGTAGAGTAATGGAAAACGGAAATATTCCTAATATTTAATTTGACAGTTTGGATACCACAATATATACATGTATTTCAAAAACACCCTGAATAGTAAATAATTAACAGTATTTAAAATTTAAATCATACTATAATTAGGAACTGATATCGCTAATTAATTAGTAATGTAGATATTTTGTTTTAATATTTACAGAATTTTACAATTATATATCTAAAAGCTGGATACCCACGATTACCAGCTGAAAAGCAAGCCGAATTGGTTCCCATTGTACTTAATGCTTTAGAAAACAAGCCTCAATCGCATATCGACAGTTTACTTCTGCTCATTATTCCCATTCTTGGAAAAGTTAAAGTTCCTACTGAACCGGAAAAAATTGTGCATTTGTTTGGCTTAAACGAAAAGCCACAGATAAGGAAACATTTGCTTGATATTTTGTTGGACATGATATTGTTGCCATACAGGTAAGTTTTCAAGTCTGATAATATTATTTTTGCTTCCAACATAAGTAAGGAAAATTCTGTTACCAAAGTATATTTAAATATCTGAATTTTAGTGCATTAACTCCACAAAGTGACAATGAAAATCAAAGTAACAACGTGTCGCTACCTGTTCCACCATGTATGAGTGAAGTATCTTATAAAAGGATTATCAGTAATAATCCTATGAAACCGGAGGAACTTGAAGAGGTAATTTTCACTATAATTTTTTTTTATATGGATGCATTTGGAGTAGATTTGGCTCGCTACTTGAAGGGTTCCCTTGGCAGTTTTTCCATTTAATATACATTAAAGATACAGAAATATGGTTGCGAATTTGCTGAAGTTGTTGTACATATACATATATCTATAAATGTTCCTTTAAAATAGCAAGCATAGTTATTACTAAGAGTATTAAGAAAATACTAACCTTATTCACAAAGCATTTTTAAATAAGTTACCTACCTTTTAGATAAAATTAGGAGTGGTCAAATTTTTGGCTCATGGAGTTTTTACCAGTGAAGAAATGTTGCCACATTTGGTGGTTGCAGCATCTGACACCAGATTTGGTGTTGCAAATTTGGCTGATACTGAATTAAAGAGAGTTATAGGGTAAGAGCTAAATTAGAAATATTGATATTTTATTAATATTTCAAGTTGGTATTGTAGATTATTTGATGTTCAGAATTAGTCTAGGATACTCGATAAATAACAGGAGGTATATTTTTCAGGTCCGTTGACTGGTCATCATCTCAAACATCTTTACCTTTGTATAACTTATATTTGGGAAGTCAAGGAAAATCTGTTAAACCAGAACAGAAGAAAACGCCTGCAAATACGAGAATTCGTCTAAAGTTATTGACGTCGCTTTGTAGAGTTTCAGATTCAGGTTTTGCTTTTCCTCAAAGCATACAGATTATTTTCGATTCCCTCTACGGGGTCAATACTAATACAAAATTGAAAACATTGGCTCTTAATTTCATTGGAAATATCATACGGACGTAAGTAGTATTTGTAAATTTTTCTAACCAGAACAATTTTTAATTTTATTATAAATGATTAAAAATAACGTTTTAGCGGTTCTGAAGACCCTTTAAGCAAAGTAGCTCCGGTTCTTTTATCAGGTTTGCAAAAACTCATCAAAGAAGGTGAAGAAGTCCTTCATGGTCAAACTTACACGACCATTGGCATGTTGGCACAACGTTTCCCAAAAATCATTTACCATGATGTCGGTTTAATGGAAACATTTTTCACCAATATGGAATCAGCAAATCCCGAACTCCGTCTGCAGATCAGAGAGGGCGTTTTGAATTTGATCATAGCTTACAAATACGACAATTTGCCGGAAGAGTGCGACAAGGACGGTAGGTTAAATATTTTGTTTTTGTTGATCAAATGCAAAATCCTTTCTGATGAACCAATGGTCAGGTTTGCTGCTGTCAGGACCTTGGCTACAATTTTTCCTCCGGATCATGTGCCATCGAAGTATTTGCTTTTAATAGCTACTGGAGACAAGTAAGTTATATCTAAAAGTAAGTCATACAGGTAGGGAAAAAATTATACGAGTCGTATGGTGTAGTTACGCCCATCTCTATTAATTGTAACATGCAGTATAATATTATTAGTATCTCGTGGAACAGCTTCGTAATTTATTTGTTAGGTTTAGTAGTTTCTCATTTTAATAATTTTTAAGTTTTTGAGAATTATTTTTTATTATTTTTTCATACATTAATAACATATTTAGATGCTTGCTAAACAATTTTGAGTAGGTATGTAGACGTTGGCCGTGCACTCGAAGTGGCTATAATACCCTATGGCTTATATTCCTTTTTCCTAACCTGTATGTGTCGTAGTGTAACTACCTCGACGTTGTATTTCATTTTTATTTTACTTTGTATTAAATGTGCATTTATACTCTTATATTTTCTTCAATGCCCGACATTTATCTCATTTTTGGTGCCAAAAGAATTTATTCATTGAACTTTTTTTAATAAATTTAATTTTGCTTCCATTTTTTTCTTTCATATCTTGCATCAACAACAGGAGATCACTTCTGCATTAAATTTAAATTTTTATTGAATGAGAGACATAATTATTTAGCAACTTGAACAATTTTAGTAAAGATGAAGTTTCTGCAGAAGCTTTTAAATCCCTTTATGGCACAACCAGAAAAAATGATGTTGATTTAGCTAAAGAATCTATAAAAGATAAAATAATAATGCCTACATTTGAGGAGATTATCCATTATGTGGCAAGCGAAGCTCAATCTACCATGAAGGCCAAAACTAAATGTTTTTCTGTTGGAAATCATATGTTACCATTTAGTGTAAAAACTTATACTGAGGTAAAATTAGTGGGAATATTAAAATAAAAAATATATAAATAACTAATATCCTAAGCTATTTTTAATAATTTAATGCCACTCTTTTAGATTTTGGTGTATTTAAGACTATGTCTAGTAAAAGATTTAGATGTGCCTCTCACAAGGGAGATACTAAAACATCCTTGTGAACATACACCAAAAATAGCAACACATCTACAAGCAAAACTGAATTCAAGTGGGGTTAAGTTGGAAGATAACCCTTTAATTCAATATGTCAACTTAATTAGAGACCTCATGGTCGCCAATCCGGGTAAAAAATATTACCTTACAATTTATTGTATCCATGAACTCCACTTATATTCAAATATTTTCAGCTCCCGAACCGTTATGTTGCATGGTGGAACTAATAGGGTGCCTGCCAACTCTTCACGAGCATGTTTTAAAAAATCTTCAATGGTCAAAAGATCAATTGTCAAACACTAAAGAAGAGGTTAGAGAATGTAGTTCCTTACTTTACGCCATTATTTTGACCTTATCTGCAAACAACGGCGATTTTATTACAGCTGTCAAAAATTTGACAACTCAATCTAACGGAAAAAATTTAGAGGCTCAACATGGAGCTCTACTCGCTATCGGTCGGTGTTTGGAAATGAAAATTGAAAGTAGTAAAAAGGAAAAAGATTCCACCTATTTGGATATTACTAAATCTAGCATTGAAAGTTTAGGTGGGTATTAAATAACACTGTTTTGTTGTTAACTATTTTTAGCGGTTTTCTTAATTCCAGTTCCATTTTTAAAACATCAGAGCCCACTCTTAGTAAGTGCGGCGTGTACCAGTATCGGTTTGATAGGTAGGGCCGGTGAATTGCCATTAGAAGATGGAAAGCCCATGAAAAATGGCAGTCCAGATCCGAAAAGAATGGCAATTGATACAGTTAGCAAAATGGATCTTGTTAACCAGTTATTAGACGTTATGAACAATTCCAAATTGTCGCCGAAGGTTCGAGAAAAATCTGCTAGAAGTTTAGGATTGTTGTGCGTTGGTGGGCAGTTCCCACATTCAAGGGAAGTTTTGCAAGGATTGTTGAATACTGCAAAGGAGGTTAGTTCAGAAAATAAAAACTTTATATTTTTACATATCAATGTTTATTTTTAGACAAAAGATATTGAAGTTCACTTCACCATTGGAGAATCTCTAGTGATGTGCTGCCAAGGTGTCTGGTCGCCAGAAGCAAGAAACCCTTGGACCACTCTTCCAAAAGATTACGTACCTCTTGTAAGCAAACCTCAAGCAGATGACAGCTTAGAATGGCTTCTTGGAGAACTTCTAAGCTTGGCTAACACGACCCACCCTAACTCGAAGCAAGCTTCCAGTATTTGGTTACTGGCCGTCATCAAATATTGTGGAGAAAGAGAACCAATTACCAAAAGATTGAGACAGTTACAGAATGTTTTTATGGAGTTCTTAAGCGAGAATAATGGTAATTATGGTAACAATATATAACTTCAAAACAAACTAAAAATGTTCTTATTTTAGATATCATACAAGATGTGGCATCTAAAGGTTTATGTGTAGTATATGATACATACAAGTCTGAGGAATTGTTGGAAGCTTTAGTAAAACAACTGACCTCTGGTACTCGTCAAGTAACACAAGTTACTCAAGATACAAAATTATTTGAAGAAGGCCAGTTGGGAAAGTCACCTACAGGGTGAGTACTTACAATTTTAATACATTATTGTGTTATAGGGAGGAAAGTGAATGTTTTCCACCATGATTCAATTGTTATTTTATTTTTTATTTTGGAAGTGTGAAAGCTTAAAAACTCATGTTTGTCACCAAGATGTTTATGTGGGACTATTACATAGCCTACCCACCAAAAACTTTTCACCTCCACTCGAAACACACACAGGAGCTATTTTGAAAAATGTTTACAACTACCTGTGCAGTGGTCTGTCGTTTTTGTCTATTGCTGTTGCTGAATACGTTCTTCTGTTTCTTTGATTTTCATTATATTCGAAATTGTATTCTTAATGATATTGTATTTGTCCTTCTTTAGTTAGACCACCCTAAAATTATCTACACACAAGTCCGTTCCCAGTGCATTATGCATTTATGCAGGCTATTTCTTTCACCTTGAAATTTCATACATTGCAATACTGTATTCTTGGCTTTGTCGTAGAGACCGCAGTAAATGCACATGTCTTTCTCAGTTTTCCCTATATACAATGTGTACCTTTTAAATCCATGACCAGATTATATAGAAGTTGGTGCTCATGTTTGTTCTGGAACAATGGCCTTATATCAGGGATCCATGAATCTGTAGTACATTCCTTCCATTCTTCCTGCCACTTACTACATGTCTATAGTTTCATATTCCATATATTTTTCATGGACTTCTGTCACAGATGGATTGGAATGACTAGCAATGATGTACAGCTGCCTTTGGTACAGTTCTATATCTACTTATTACCTGTTAATAAAAGAAAGAGACCATAAGAAACTTTAATTTATGGAAAATATTAACAGTTAGTGACGGCAGCCTACATTTTTAAGCTAATCATTGATTTGTTTCAACTGTGTTTCTAACAAATTTCTATGTGTTTATGACAGGCTTCTGGTTCACTACAGTAAATCAGCGAGTCTGTGTGGCGCTATGATGGTGATTCCCGAATAGGGGTTGCTCAGGCGCCAGTTTTGATATCGCAGTTTGCTCTGCGATCCTGTGGTACACCAGAGTGTACTCAAGGTAAACTCAGTGGAGGTAAAAATAATTCCAGGCGGTCACTGCTATGTAGCCACTATACTAGAATAAATAAAAATAAAACACTTATCTCCTTTACACCTCGTACCCTACGGTACCCTGAAAGAGAACGGTCAAGAACCAGCAATAAGAGAAACACAGGAATAGGTAATAAAATATATATTTACAAAAAAAATACAACAGTGCCGGTGCACGGTTCTGGTACGGCGGTAAACAGAAAATTAAATAAAATGAATAATTACAATTAAACGAGATTACAAGAAAGTAATTACGGATCCCTATATACAGAAGAAAAGAAAAAAATAATTATAAGTAAATTATTACAATTGCAGCTAGTTAAATACTAACGGTTCCCGGTATTCAGAAGATTTACTAAAAATAAATTATTATATTTGAAAACTAGTCAAATCTTACTGGCTCCCTATATTCGGAAAATTTATTAAAAATAAATTATTACCAATGAAAACTAATTAAATACTAACGGTTCCCTATATGCGGAAAATTTATTAAAAATAAATTATTACCAATGAAAACTAATTAAATATTAACGGTTTAAAGTCTCTCTCATGTAGACATCTGGTAGTCCATAGCTTCTACAAGAGAGACACCCTTTCCACGAGCTGTTATAAAGACTAGGGGCTGAAACAGCTCTGATTATCGACGGGGGAAGCAAGCGAATACCGCTATCACTCCCTGGTTAACGCGAAAATGGATGAAGGGCGCCTGTGCCCCCGGATTTAAATCCAATTTACTTTATTACCCTGATAGGTACTAAGGAAATTAAAAGTTCGTATTACCTTTTACTAGTACGGGAAAATATTTACGGTTCGCTAGCACAGGAGGCTCAGCGGTCCGGGAATTATGAAACTCCCTGTATACGGAAAATTTATTAAAAATAAATTAATACAATTGAAAACTATTTAAATATGACAGTAATCAAATGTAAGCAAATAAATGAAATCAAAGTTTTCGGAACGTCCCTGTATCTTAGTTCAGACCGATCGGCGCTCTGGCCATTACATTGAACGAGAAAGATAATTTTCAGCGTGTTTGGAACAAGAATGCGATGGTTAACGTAAAAATTATTTTGAGATCTGCCAAAAGTCGATCAAGACGGTGTTTGAATTAGTTTTATATAAAACGTCAGGCTTCTTTCAATAATTAATTGTTGACGGGAAACGGAATGATTAAAATATAATTGAATGAACAAATAAAAGAAAAGATAAACTTATATGAAAAATACTGGGCGCTTCTTATAAAAAATTGCCAACGGTGTCCCACTAAGGGATGAAATAAAATATCCTGGGTATGAATCAAAAATTTTTCACTTGTCGGACGGGTGTCCCAAACTAATTGTAGATAAAAAAAATAATATGCGGTTTCCTACCTTAGAAAAATAAACGGGGTTGTTCAGCAGTATAACAATATCGCGGTCATTCACTAGTCGGTGGAGAAGAGAGAAGAAGCTTACGGTTGCCGGAAATCAAGAGAGCGTAATTCCCAGATGTGATCGAATTTATGCTTTTTCGCTGGGCAAGATGGAACACCGGTAAGCCCGAGTGGGGGATACCACCACTACAGCCGACTGTTTACAATTTTAAAAATAAAAAAAATGTCCTTCTAGTACCTTGACAAATAAAAGTAGATAATTGGAACGAAATCGACTTTACGAAATGCCCATTCGGATTTCGGCAAATATAGGAATATTTTAACCTACGAGGGCGCAATTGTTGAAAAACGGTAATTCCTGGGAAACACATGTCCTCAGGCGGGAATTAATTGAAATATACATTTTTAAATTAATTGCTACCAAAATTTGGTCACATGTTATTTTAAATTAGTTTTTAAAATAGTTGATTATTTGTGTACACTTTTTAAATGATTAATACTGTATGCAAGAGTTTTTTCCTTGGGGTTATTACATTAAAAAAAACTAAAACAATTTGAAAATAATACTTATTTACATCTACTTTTTAGAGGAAACCTGACAACCTACAAAGAACTCTGTTCTTTGGCATCAGATCTAAATAAGCCAGACTTAATTTACCAATTCATGCAATTGGCAAATCACAATGCAATGTGGAACTCCAAAAAAGGTGCTGCTTTCGGTTTCTCCACCATTGCAGAAAGATGTGGACAAGATCTGAAAGCGTACCTCCCAACGATTATACCGAAGTTGTATAGATATCAATATGATCCAACGCCTAATATACAGAATTCCATGCATAACATTTGGAGGGTTTTGGTCCCAGAGCCAGGAAAAATAGTAAGATAATTTACCATTATGTATTTTGATTATGTATTGCAATCATTTTGAATAATTTTTGCCTCAAAATCAACATTACATTTTCATTTTTTTTTAATTGAAGTTATTTAGATTCTGATGTCATATAAAGTAATATGTTGTCTTTTTATGTCTGCCTGACACTAGGACTTTTGCCATAATTTTTGATATTTGCATTATTTATATATTTCCTACTCAGAAAAATTCCCCATTATGATTTTATTATGATTTTGTAATAAGAATAAGAAAGAAGAGCACTAACTTAAATATTTTTTTAGTTAGATGAATACTATGACGAAATTCTGGCAGATATTTTGGCAAATATTAACTCGAGTCAATACAGGGTAAGACAGTCGTGTTGTTTAGCGTTACAAGACTTTTTGAAGGGCTCTGCTAATCGGTCTATTCACGATGCTATAAATTCTATGGATGAATTGTGGACAAAATTGTTTAGAGTTATGGATGATCATCACGAACAGACCAGGATAACTGCTACCAGAACGACCAGAATCTTAAGTAAAGTAAGTATACACGATTTTTTCTCAGAATTATAAACGAAAGTTTTTAAAATCGCTACCACCAATATTTGAATTAAATCAATTAATTACAGTTATGTATACGAGGTTGCGACATTAGCCAGGGAAAGGCGGGTGTCAAAATGGTTGAGGCGGTATTACCTGTTTTGCTCAACACTGGTATAACGAATTCAGTTGCAGAAATACGTCTTATCAGGTTTGTTATTATTTTATAATAATTCGGCAATGTATCTACAATTAATGTTTTAGCTTACAAACCGTTTCCGAATTAGTAACATCAGCCGGTCCGCAACTGAAACCGTTTTTGCCTAAATTAATCCCAGCCTTGCTTCAAGCGACCGGGGAAATGGAGTCAACGAAATTATCGTATTTAAGTACTAGGTTAGGGGCCCAAAGTGAAGCTCAAGAAGCCGTGGATAGCGCTAGGGCTTCCATAGCTAAGTCACATTTCACCACGGAAACTGTAACAAAGGTACTTAAAATCGAAAGTAATTTTTAATAATTAAACATAATTTCTTTTTAACTTTTTATATATAAATGATATAGAACAACTGTTTTATTTTTGGATAATTTTGCAGTGTGCCTATTTTATCATACGGAATGGCGAAAACTTAATTAAACACTAGGTTTTCGTTAATTAAACAGGAAAAAAAGATGAGTTTATTGGTTTGTTCAAAATTTAAATGTCCTTGTTCGGTGTCCGAGATATTTGGACAAATCGACGAATTTCGGTTTATTTAATGAAGATCTTTGTTTTTTATAGATAGAAAAAAACTTTTTTGTTAAAGGTCAAATATCTCTAAACATAGCAAAGTCGAATTTTTAAAACGTCGTTTCGGAATTAAGGGGCCACTGTCAACAATTCTTTAAATACGTACCCATACTTTTTATATTATTTTTGACTACCATTTGACAATGAACTGTATTTTAGGAATTTTCGAAAGTACAGTCTTGTTTATTTTCACGCCGAATATTTATAAACAATTTTGAACAATTTAGGTTTAGAGCATAATTTGGATTAACATTTGTGAGTTCTAGGCGCCATCTATTACAAAAAGTTATTATCTATCATTGTGTAAAATCTTCTAAGTGACAACACAATATCAAATGCCAGTTTATTCCAATGTCAATAGTTTCTAACTAATATTAGGAAATTACTAAAACTTGTCATGTTAAATGTTTATAACTATTTTTTTTTAGTTACAAAACAAAATAATTTCAATTACATTTAATTTAGTTTTAAGGTTGGCGTTCGCCCATAGAAATCTGCCGTATGCGGTTGACTTTAAACCAAGCTTTCGAGAAAAATATACTTCTTGGCATTAATTTTAATATTGAAAACCGTTCATGAAGTGTGCCTAGAGGTTGTAAAGACTTCTTAAGAAACGAAGTTGTTCTAAAGTACTCGAAAAATGACTTTGACTTTTGGTATCTAAACCACATATAATCGCGTTGACTTACTTAAGAATTTTCTTTAAAACTAAATATATTTACATGTTGTCTTTCCGTTAAATCCCGTACAACCAATACAGAAAAATAATGAAATACATCACACTTCAAAATATGGTTTAGTTTTTTTGAAGGCTTGGTTTAAAATTACATAGATTTTTTTATGAAAAAACAATTGTGTAGTGTATCACGTGATATAGCGAAAAGTTACAAAGGTAAAATCATTTTTAACTATTTTCTTTCAATGATTTTGTAAAAAAAATGCGAAATTGACCAGATAAACAGTTTTTGAAATATGGCCAGACGCCGCCCTTAACGTCCTTCTGTAATTTTTTTTCACATTGAGTTAGAAGGTATTGCCGGTTCACGGACGATATGTAAAACGGCTATCCCCACGGTATTCCAAATAAAAGCTTATTAATAATATGCTTTCAAAATGAACAGGTTGAATATGGCTAATGTCATTCTAACATCCTCAATCGTAGTAAGAATCCTGTACTGATTCCGAACGCTGAGGTAAAAATTACACTGCATATTATAACTGGATTTGTACCGTTTAAATGTTTATACAGGCGTGTATGATCTGCCCTAACGTTCAGAATACGTTCGGGATCGGCTCTGCGAACAAAGCTAAGTTTTCATTTTGCATCGCTATCAAAAAACAATATTTAAAAATTAAAAAAAAAAAAACGGCGCTAAGTAAAGCGGTGTTAGCCCAGTGAATATGGTCGGATTTTTGAAAAAATTAAATGTGACGAACATTTACCTGTTAAAGGATTATTGTCAAAAGGATGTGGTTTACTACAGTTGATGCAGTGACGGATAAAAGGGTAACGTTACCTCGTGATCGACGGAAGTTAGTGAATTAAAGATTTCACTGATTGCCAGAGTACTGAAGGAGAATCGGGGAATCTTAGATGTTGTAAAAATTAATTCGCTTACGTAACTTCAGAACTTACAACAAAACGGTATTCCTTTAAGAAGTTCCGTCGTTGAAACCAAACATTTATTAGAACTTACCACCTTATTTATCTACTAGGGGCATATTGGCTCGGTAGTGTAGTTGTCTCACGTGCTTATAGGCAATTTTATGGTTGAGATGTAAGGTGTTTTCTTGCCTCTAAGAAAATATTACCCTTACTAGTGACACCCTATGACTCGGAAGTACTCGAGCGCCAGTTTTATTAATGTGGTTTGCTCCACAACACAGGTAGCTTCTAGTGGAGATGACGGAAAAACTCCAGGGGTCTCGTTGATGTAAGACTATACACATAAGAGGGTAACAATAACGGGCTTTAATCGTTATTGTTACGTTTAAAGAATTGTCGAAGCTGAAAAAGAAAAAGGGAAAGGTCGACACAATTATAAGCCAAATTTTTTTGAAAATTAATACATCTATTGCTTACGAAAGCTAATAACAATAATAAAAAATTAAAATATTTCAAAGCCCACCCCCTTATGAGTCGTTATAACCCTGAACAAAAAATAACAAAAATAAGCGGTTGCGGACGATGGCTTGACAGGTCGGAGCTCAATCAGACGTGATTTAGATAAATATACAGATAAAAGCAAATAACACGGAGTTCTGAATTAAATCGGATTACGGTAGCATTTACTTATGAACAGGGAATATATACGGAAATAGAATTCAATATTAACAATTATGAAAAATAAAATTAATCGGTACCAGGTAACTAGTTTAACTTCCCATCTAATATCCCACCCTTTTGGAATTAAATCAAAGTAAAAGAAAAAAATGTAACCACGGATAATATCTAATTCCTAGCAGTGTAACGACACAATCACGCATACAGAACACTAGCTAGACATCAGATACTATTTATTTTTCTGTATGGAAACCAAATAAACGTGTTTTCGGTCGTGACCCCCTTTTAAAAAAAAAAATTAAAAAAAAAATCCACGGATAATGTCTAATCACTAGTAGTGTAGCGACACAATCACGCATACAAAACACTAGTTAGTTTTCAGACAATATTTTCTTTTCTTTTAAACTTTAATCGAAAAAAAAAAATTAAAGGAAAATAAAACTAAATTTTATCACGCATAATACCTAATCACTAGCAGTGTAGCGACACAATCACGCATACAAAACACTGGCTAGGTATCAGATAGTATTTACTTTTAGATACGGAAAATAAAAAAAATGTGTTTTCGGTCGTGACCCCTTTTTAATAAAATAAAAAATAAAAATAAAAAAAAATCCACGGATAATGTCTAATCACTAGTAGTGTAGCGACACAATCACGCATACAAAACACTAGTTAGTTTTCAGACATTATTTTTTTAATCATTAAATCAATTACGAGTACCACCCTGTATTTATTTTAAAGGAAAGAAAATTGAAATAAAAGAACCAACTACTGTAAAAAAAAAATTAACCTAGACCTGGCAGCAATTAAATCGTTAAATCTATTTATCTTATTAAATAATTTAATCGTATCCAAAATCGGAAAATAAAATTAAAAAAATAATTCAGTCGAGAAATGAAAATAAATATTTCTAAAAATGTAAAGATATTTAACAGAGCAAAATGCTTTAATATTAATTATTTCGGTATTTCAAATTCAATAGAAAATAAAGCCGGTATAAATCGGAATGTGTCTTTTATTTACTTCCAAAAATAACGCGATAAGAAATCAGTTTTTTTTTACCTGTACTCGGAGAACGGGTTTTGTTTAATCGGAGGCGGCTGGTACTGCTAAGGATTGCTGCTTACTAACTCAAGCGTCGGCGAAAAGATAGTGAGATCTGGCCGGTGCAGCTTGTTTTACAGGTGATTTTCGCCACTCGTCGTGCAAACTCGATTATAATTAATTAAGATTGAGGTGGGGAAATGCAGGCGATCGTCCGCTGACTTATAAAAAAATTTTGATGGGAAGATTAAATATATAGTAAACGTTTGAAAACTCGAATTTTTAACGTTAAAGCTAAATGATGAATACGAAAAATAAAATAAAAATAATAATTCGGTTTTCCGACGGATCCTATATTTCTTAAATAAAATAAAAAAAAAGTAACTTCGTTACAGAGAGACAAAGCATCATGTGCATTTTTAATTAATTTGCATGGTTCGTTATAGGACTTGATGTGTGCCGAATTGGCAATAATTTAATTTTTGTTGATATGGCATTACAAATTGCCATGCGTTACCGTTTCGATGATGGCGAGTGAGGTTTTCCGAGTTTTCTTCACCTGTAAGTCAAATGGCACCATCAATCATCTTTAAGTCGCCCCGGAGCGCCACAGAAGATAATTCACACGTAAGGGGGTGAATTAGCGGAGTATTATTATCACAATCTCATAAAGAACGTTTAGGTTTACTAATTATTATTATTATTACTACCAAATGACTATTATTGTTTTTATTACTGCCCCGTTTTTACACCAAGTCTACCTTTTCGGCTGCCCAGTTAACCATTATTTACAAATTCTTAGTTCGATGGACTTTAAAAATAATGCTGAGTCGCTCAATTTTCGTAGTTTACCAAATTTATGTGGTTGATGACCTGATATCATTTCTTTCATGTATTTACATTTACATTTACTTTTTTTATAGGTATATTGGCGAGTTAGCAGGAATTTGAAATCGTTTATAAATTGTTTAACTACGTATGTTGTGAACAAAGTATTTTAATTTAAAAAGCGTGTCACAGAAATGTCGGGCGAGCGTTTCCATCTTTTATCTAATACCACAGCAGACATTAAATTGTATCTAAAGAAAAATAAAAACAGTCAAAGCTTAAGAATGTTTGAAACTAATTCTCTATCTCTGCTGTTTTTCGTTGGATATAATTAAATGCCTGTTGTGGCATTAGCCAAAGAAGTAGACATTCGACATTTTTGTGACACGGTCTCGTGAGTTTTCTTATTTTCGTTCATTTTTAAATTGGCCATATTTGAGTTGGATTTTTCCTTTAATTGTATAGTATTTCCTGAAATATAACGCCCAATTCTAGTAGATCTTCATTAGAATGACGTTTTAATCTTTAAGGTTTCACACGTTTGTAAATTTAAAGAATCTTTGTGAATTAGGTTTTTTGTGAGATGGTTGGATAAATACAAAAATGGAGACATGAAGAATTCATTTTAAACAAAAATGGAAGATGAAATGTTTTGAAAATGCGGCTAAGCTATGTTAAGCAGTATTTGACCTTTAAAAAAGCTTAGTAAATTTTTTCTACCTTTCAAAATAAAAGTGTTACTTAACTAAATAAAACGAAAAACACCGATCTCGGTAATCTGTCCTGATATGTCGTAACCTTTTGACAATTTGGTTTTAGAGTTTGCAATATGCAGATGCGACCATACTCGAAGAATTGGTGCCGAAAATCATTGAATTGATGAAGGGTACCGTTGGCTTGGGTACAAGAATAGCTTGCGCTCATTTTATAACGCTTCTAGTCGTTCAAATGGGTCAAGATGTTCAACCTTATACAGGTAAACGATAAAATAAAAATATGTAAAAAGGTTTATTCATCGTCTTAAATAATTCATCTTGCAGGAAAATTTTTGGCTGTGCTTGTTAATGGATTGACAGACAGAAATTCTGCTATTAGAAAACATAATGCAACTGCCATAGGCCATTTAGTTGCTACTGCTAAAGATTCTAGTCTAGAAAAACTGATGGTCAAGTTGCAGAATTGGTATTTCGAAAGAGAAGGTAAGAATTTTTACACATTAACTGGACTGAGGGTAAAAAATTATACATATATAAAGGTACCCTAGTATATATTTTAATATATTGATATAGAAAAGTTGAATTGGCTGCTTTTAAATTTCAAATCAAATAACCTAATGAAACTCTTTGTCTGTGGGTAGTTTGGTGTCTAAAATTAAAATCCAAAAATTGTAGTATGAAGAATAATAGTAAACAGTATTATCTTCTTATCTGCGTTTGGTCTACCGTCTCTGCACCTGTGTCACTCTCTCTTGGTATCCTCCTGTCCTACTGGCTTTCCATGGGACCTCCTTCTCATCTTGTGTGCTCCTGTCTACTAGCTGGTTTCCACCTGTATATCTTTTTTTCTTTTTTGTATTTTATTTCAAAATCAAAATCTGATTACCTTGTCGAATCAATTTGTTTATTTCGAAAACTTTTCTTTCTACAACTCATTTCAACCACTTTGATTTAATAACAATTTGACTTACCAATGAGCTTTACCACCCACATCATTCAATTTTGACAACAAACATTTCTGATGTCTTACAATTTTTTAATGATAGGACATTTGACATTTCCATTACTTCAAAAGTGATACAACTCAAAATTCACATCTGTTGAGTTAATAACTTGAATGTGATTGGTAAACAACCCTACAATCAACAAAATTGTTCTAACTGGACTTAGAACACGCTCTTCTAGATGGCGCCTTTGTCATTTTTGAGGTTTTGATGTGTGAGGTTGTTTTTAATATTCAAATTCATGGTATTACCCAAACAAAATGTGAATTTTGAGTTGTGTCACTTTTGAAGCAAGGGTATTGTATCTAGTTATATTCGTTTTACTATCAAATAATCTTTTTAGATGATACGATGAGATCCGCTTGCGCACAAACCATTCAAGCCATCGGGATTCACAATCAAGAAGTCTTAAAAAGTCACGCGGATGTGGTTCTGCCACTGGTGTTCTTTGCAATGCATGCGGATAAAACGCCAGAAACTGAAAGGACTCTGGAAACTTGGAACGAAATCTGGTCCGAGCAAAGCCCCGGTACCGAAACTGGTATCAGACAAAATTTGAAAAATATCTGCGATATTCTTAAGACTGGTCTAGAATCTCCTTCGTGGACAATGAAAGCACAGGTAATTTTATAAAATCAAATTTTATTACAATAAATTTAAATAAAACAAATTTAAACAGGTTATCAGAGAGGAAAGTTTATATATAGAACTTCATAAACTTTAAAGATTATTATTAAAACATATGGAGATTATCCTCGAATAGTAGTACATCTAGTTTCTCGTTTTTTGCGGTTTGTTTTCTCTACTATTTTTATGGAGGGGTCTAACATGGCTCATTGCTCTAAATTTCTTCTCAATTTTGCTTACGATGGATTGCGAAATTGGCTCTCAGTTAGGATATATGATGAATTTTTAAAAAGATTAGATATTTTGTACATTTAATAATCTTTCATTAAATTCTTTTGAAAGAGATGGCCTCTTTTCAATAACTGTATTGTGGCTGATTAGATATTATTAATTTTTTTTAATTTAAAGGCTGCAAATGGTGTTTCCACTGTCGCCAACAAACTCGGCAGTTCCATGGATGTCAACCATAGAAATTCCTTGATTAGTATCTTACTGACTGGACTATCTGGTAGAACCTGGAACGGCAAAGATAAACTTCTCAAAGCATTGGCTAGCATTTGCAGTAGCTGCAAGTAAGTAATACAAAAAAGAATGTTAAAATTAAAAACGTTTTAATTTCAAATTATTAGCTCTTTTATACCTTATTTAATTTAAAATAATCTAGAATTAAAATGCTATTTCTCCCAACTTTATAGACCAGTTGGCTGTAAAAATGTTCATATGAATAAATTTGATAACATTTTAATATATTTTTCATTTTTTATGGTTTACAATAAAAAAGATTTCATATTTAATGGTGGTGATAAAGACATTATGAAATTTAATTACCCTTTATAATGACTATTAATGAACAAATAAAAATGCATTTTTTTTAATTAATGTTTATTATTTCAGAGACGCCATAAAAGATGATCCAGACGTAAACATCTCGAAAATAGTAGAAACGGTATTAAAAGAAAGCAACAAAGAAGAAGTGGTATACAAAATCAGCGCATTGCAAGCTTTAGGCGAGATAGTTTCCTCACTGGAAATCGACAAATTTAAAGAAATTTACGATATCATCCAAATCATCATAACGGATAAGACAAGCAAAGAAGACACTGAAGATATATCGACCGAAGAAATTAGCAAAAACAGAGAAAACCACATTAAATTGAAAGAAATCGCTTACGAGACTTTAGGAAAAGCCTGGCCTTCCAACAGCAAAACTACACAAGAAAAATACAGGGAATTATTCGTAGAACATACTGTACAATGCTTACCGACAGTGACCAGATCCATTCAAGTCAGCGTTGTATCAGCATTGTATGCTTTTGTCGATAAACTAACGCTTCTTAACGAGGATAATTTGACTGATGACGAAGAGAAGAGCTTGGAGAAAATTGTCGATAACATTCTGAAAGCCGTTAAGTATTCTTTGAGTATCGGGAAGCATACGAGATTAAGGAAGGAAGCATTGAATGTCGTGTTTTGTTTGGGGACGAAATTGAAGGAGAAGAAGAGAGAACGGGATTTCGAAAGTTTGGCTAAGATGTTCAATGGTGCTTTGGCGGATATCGCTAATGACACACAACCGGAGATTAAATCTAGGGTGAACGATATTAAGAAGATGTTAAATAATTAATTTAATCTACCTAGGTTTTAAATATTTAATTATGTTACTTATTTAATAAAGTGATTAATTTAATGAATATTTTTTTATTGTTCATGTCTTAAAAATACAAAGCATTTGTAAAAATAATTAATAAATTAACTAAGTACGGCTCTGTACAAGTTCCATACACACATTTTAAGATTACAAAATATATGACACCTTTAACAAGCTGTTACTATGAGAGATTGTCACACACATAAAAGTACATAGACCTAAGTTCCCGCTAAAAACTAGATACGTGCAAACTATTAACGGTTTGTCTCAGTATTGATCGGATTTTTCTAGCAACTTTCACGCCAGACGAAGTAGTAAAGTATATTATTATTGAAATCCGACAACCGGGGGTTGATAATTAATTTAAATAATTCCTATATATTACATATTATATTCAAATTTTTATTTCGAATTCAAACAACATCCCAGCGTATTCCGCCTCGTAGGCGCCGTTTAATTCTGAGAAAAGAAATCTACGCTAGAACAAAACAGATGTAAGACGTTAGGGCTATATTCAGGAATTAATACAGAGCTTTATAGTCTTTATGCACCGAAGTCACAGTCGTTCTCTTTCCGATACATTTGCATATATGGGAAATTTAAGTATAAATACCCGGATTTTTGTGGGCTGGGGGGACATTAGCTTTTTCTTCTTCGCCGAGTCAAGTTAACAAAAAACGCAAATATCCACGTTACCTTTACGGTGACTCCTTTTTCTTTATATTCTTCAAATATAATTAAAAAGAGATATCGCTACCCTTACGGTGGCCGCGCTTTTGTTATATTTTGAGAACGGAAATAAAAGATATCGACGGAGTAGAGAAATTAGTTTCTATAAACGACGGCTTCTGCATAGATATCCAGTTGTCCTTAGGATGACCACCTTTTTCTTATATTTTATATATATAAGTAAAAGGAGATATATAGTCAGGTTGACCAAGCAGATACACGTTGAATAGAACCAGATTTCGCTCCTAGAACTGTTTTGTAAAGTTGTATCTACCGAGCGACTAAAATATTGGCGTAACTGATACTGGTAATACCACGCTAGTCTAGTTAAACGCCAGATATTTTATATCTCCGATTCAACATTATAAAATGTTACTAAATGATTAAAAGTACTACTCTAGGCGACGTTCGTAATGGATTTCGTCACCCTTCAGGCTGACCCGACGAACTTGCGCCCAGTAGACGCTTTTGTCAGTGGTATACTTTTTTCTGTAAGGTTTCTTTTACGTAGAATTAAAACGATAATCGCACTATTAAAGTAATCAAACTAGTATTTAATATTCAGATATTCCGGGGGGAGAGTTTAGACTAACATTAATGGGTTACAGGTATCACTTTATTACTTTTATATTCATTAGCAGGAAAATTCGCGTCTGTGTGTTATGTCATATTTTTGGTATTCATGGATAAACGTTTATTGTGGGAAAAATTATAGGGTTTTTATATTGTGCTAAATTATATTATTTAGAGAATCGATAGTGATGTTGTTGTCATAAATATTATTTGTTGTAAAGTCGGTCAACACTCTCAAGTAAAAAATTAAGTCATTTAGATTTATGGCCAAAGGGCCGAATTGTAAAGTTTTGGGTTGTCTGTAAACAGTAACTGACCATTTCAGTAAAGAGTAAACGCACTTTTGGTTTTATTTTTAAATGTCTCATGGAAAGAGTAAAATAGTATAATAAAATACAAGTTGGAGAAGGCCACATATTCCCGCACGAATTTTTGAAATAAGTATAACCGCAAATTTGTTAAACAAAAAAATATAGTAAAATAATATCTAAATTTGAATGCTAGACCGAGTACGGTTACGAAGATGAATTTATTTTAGGGCTCGCGGCTAGACTCTAGTGGAGATGGGGTGGTTCAATCTCAATTATTAAAAAAAGGGGGGGCGCCAGTTAAATTGGCCCGAGCACCTGACTGTCTAAGTATTGACCCTCAATTTAACAAAAGACCAATAATATAAAGCGGTACCTTAATGTACCCAACCTAGACACAAAAAGAGTAATAAAATACAAAATGATTATTTACGGATTTATTTTCAAGTTAGAAATCAACAGTATGATAAGAAGTTTCCCCAAGAGAAAAAAAAATACTTTGCTATAAAATAAGTAAAATAACTAAGTAGAATAATTAATCTTTTTTTTTTGCAATATTAATTATTTCCAAAATGTATTTTTTTTAGGTTGACGAAATATTATAAACATTATGTAAAATGATCAGATATTAAAAATATTATATAACTTGACGAAATATTATAAATATTATAGTATTGACCAATTTTTATATTGTAAAAATTGAGGATGTGTTATAAATATTTAATTATTGCCCAAATATTATAACCATATAAATTAACCAAATAAGTTTTTATAAATAAATTTTATGCGGCTTCCTAAGGGAAATTTTTTTGTATCAAAAATAGTAAAGGAGTGAATAAAATAAATGGCAAAAAAAAATCGAAATGTTAATTCGGCGTCGCTTGAGCTCAGGCGCATGCGCTGAGGATTTCTGTAATATCCTCAAATATCAAATAATATAGGTAGGTAAAGCCCAAATCCTTAGCATTCCGCTCACAAAAATAATTCTAACGTTAATTATAAATCCCCACAAGAAAAAAAGAAATAATAGAGTCAGATTGTCTACTCCATGTAAAAAAAAAACAATGTTCATTAATTTATAAGTAAAAAAAAACTGTTCGAATATCATTAAAAAAGAACAACTTGCGTGTTTCCAGCGGTGGTTATCTCGTAGAACGTTCTCAAATTCGAGCCGGCAGACTCGAGCTGGAGAGGTGTAAATAGAACGAATCACGTTCTCCCAAGGACTTCCTAGGACAGGCTCCCGGTTTTCGAGTTAACAATCCAAAGCAAATGATGCCCAACGTAAAAAAAAAACCCTAAAAAGAGTAAAAGACAATATGTCAAAGACCCATTTATATTTTAATTGAAAAGAGAATAAGCACTAATAAAATATTCCTTTTTTTTTTAAAGAAAATATATATAAGCTCACTAGGAAATTAATATTAAAATAAAAACAATAGAATATTTTAACCAAAAAAGCATCAAATACTATAATGATGGAAATGCATCATAAAAAGAATAAATTTAACTCATATCGTCAATAGAATTGTGAATAGAAACGGCGAACTCGACGATGAAAAACAAATCATTTAAATAAAAAGGTAGAGGTGGCAAATCACCTTCATGAAAGAAAATTAATTAAACCTACTTAAATTAATTTTATTTACTTACCCTGGCCAAGGGGTTTTTTTTTCTAATTAAGACTACGGGTCGGTAAGCGAGGGAACAACCACTATTAATACGCCCTCCTTTTTGTTGTCTTCCTATAGGTAAATGCCGGTAGAACCTCAAGAACACAGCGCACGTGGAGTGTGGAATAATCCTTATTAAGGATAATTTTGGGAATCAACAACCAGAGCACCAAAATACCAATATCCAACAGGTAAAGCACAATCCCAAAATCGAAAAATAACTTCCAAAACTAAACCCACTATCGGATGACTTAAATATCACTATATTTTTGAAAGTTAGCAAATCACACCCATTTCATGCGAAGTCTACTCAGTAACAACTGAATTTTTCTGTTCTCGTTAGCTACTACGCAAAAACGGAATTTTAACTTGATAAAGACACAATTGCCTGTTTTTTAACGAAATTGTTAAACCCAAAAAAAATATTCCTAGAACAAGTATTTGGCACTATCGCAGGTAAAGCTTCAAGCTTTTCGCACAAAAATCGAAATTTAAATCTTACACACAAATTAAACTAAATTATAGACTAGAGGTGGGACACAATTTTTGGACCGTTACAATAAGACATCATAAAAAAACAGATTCTTGTTTTTCCATTTTAGTCACAAAGTATAGATATAAGGAGTTCAAACGGTATAGGCTTTTTTGTAGGATTCATGTACACAAATATTAAACCCAGATCTTAGATCTTTTTTCTGCCAGTGGCTGCGCAAATATTCAGGGCGTACTGATGTTATTATTATTGTTACATGTAAATATGGAACGCTCTGTCTCGTGAATTTTAAAATTAATTAAATTAAATAAACAAAATTTATTTATTTATTTATAATTCAGTATCATAAAAAATGGGAAGGTGCTATTCATGGTTGCCGAAAGGCAAATGAGACTTTAGGAAAAGTGGCTTTATTCAAAGCACCGAAAGTGAGTAACCTCTAAATAATATTAAAAATTTGTTTTTAACAAATACTTGATTAATAAATTTGTTTCGGCAAAAAGTCTGTCCCCAAATTGATACCATTCATTCAACATTACGTTCGGACTCCTTATATCTTTACTTCGTGATTTTAATATTGGCAGAGGTATTTATGCGATTTTGGCTTCTCCCATAGACGGCCATGGTTTCAATACAAAGTGACGTTCATCTATACGAGGCTGGGCTGAAAAATAATCGGCCTAGGCAAGAAAACACAACTTTTTTTTGGCAAAACTCAATTTATTTCTCAACATAGTTTCCTTTAAGCTCTATACACTTTGTCCATCGATTCTCCAATTTTTCGATGCCCTTCGAATAATACGATTTCTCGAAGTCCTTAAAATAGGCCTCTGTCGCAGCGATGACCTCCCCATTCGACTCAAATCTCTTACCACCGAGCCATTTTTTCAAGCCTGGAAACAGATAATAGTCGCTGGGCGCCAAATCTGGGGAGTATGGCGGATGAGGAACCAATTCGTAACGCAATTCATACAGTTTTGTCATTGCGACTGCACATTTGTGCGCTGGTGCGTTGTCCTGATGGAAGAGCACTTTCTTCTTCGCTAAATGCGGTTGTTTTTGCTTCAAATCGTCGTCAAATCGGTCCAACAGGTTTGAGTAATAATCGCCGGTGATGGTTTTGCCCTTTTGAAGGTAATCGATATGAATAATACCGTGCGT